AGTGACATGCATTTGTAGTTTTGTACCTATGCTTAACTCTATTCGTGCCAACTTAACTATCTACTTCTGTCGAGACAACGATTAAATTAAGATTAGTTTAGCTCCAGGAGTTCCACTTCCCAGCTTCCAACACAAGAATGCATGTGGTTATCCCCCGATGTTACTATTATTCCGGCTCTAACTTCGCAAGTTTCAAAATACACATTCCAACAGTAGGTAATGTTTTGTTTTGCATTCTAAATGTTTTTAAGTCTACTATTTTATTTAGATTCTGACACTAGAAAAGTGTGTGTTTGTGTACGTTAGAAAATATTAAAGAACTATCCTGCTAGTTAGTTTCGAAGTAATCTGTACATTTTTATTATGTTTGTCGTCCAGTTATATAGGTATTTTATGTGTAAAGTGCATTGAGGCAGTAAGGTATTTTATATTTTTTATTTATTTTAGCAAGTAAGTAAGAAACTAAGTACATACCTATATAGGTTATAAAAACTAGATCTTGATTTTCAACAGTCGAATCGAGCAAAAGGTGATTCATGTTTTTAGTATTTTCAATACATCAATCTTTAATCGAGTTCAGTTTGTAAAAACTATTCTTGAATGCTGGGGTACATCATCATCTGACATGATTTGTAACGAGTTCTCAAAAGTGGCGACATAAAGGACGTCCCTATTAACAAAAAAGATTCAGCTGCTAGTCCCAGACGTCGTTAGCGACTCCTTTCATTGATAGACTCTATAACATTACCTACTTATGTCTATTTAGCTAGGTACAATCGACAAATTTGAATCGTGGACAATCCGCCCATTTTTTTTAAGGGCAGAAAATCATCGAATGACTTCTCGCGTATATGGGTGAGACGGGAGGCAGTGTCAGACTCTTACTGACTAAAAACCACCCCGTTCCTACTCCTGCACTTCGAGCCGGAGCCCCGGTAACCCGTTAAGTTCTCCGCGGCTCCGTATCGGCATCAGCCCTATTGGGCACCATCCGTGGTTGTGTGATGGCTCTTTGAGGCGCGCGTCGGAACTCGACGCGCCGCACGCACAACCTACCCATGGGCATAAGGTTACTTTAAAAGAGGTATACCTTCCAGTGGCCAGCCCTTTCGTTTAGACGGGACCTTCGACGTTAGAATATTTTATACGTAGACCCAGTTCTGTCAAGGTTCCACTTGACCAGTTCATGTAAAAATCATGTAACAATATATTAGGTACCTAACTATTTTCTGATAGGAGGAGTGACGTTTGCATATGTGGACCATATTTTAATAAAATCGTCAAACGTCGTCGTAGGTCATAATTTAAATTTGTTGATCATACTCAAGTATTACGACATTTCAGTTAGCTTTCCAACTTAGGTACGAACTGATGTGTTAGCAACAGAACTCGATCTATGCGTGTTTGACTTTCTTCGCCTTCATTTTGGGCAAGTTCGGATAAAGTTAAATACACGGATTGACTTGAAAAACTTTTATGTGGGAAGTTTTCATTTCTCAAATCGATATATTTATTAAGATATTGACTTTTATACTGAAGAAAGGGTAAATAAAATTGACGCCAAATATTTAACGTAATATGTAAAAGCATGTATCCTTACACAACGTACGTATAAATAAAATTGGAGACTGTACCTACAGTCACTAGTTTTATTTCGTGGAGGTAATTTACTTAAATTATGTTATGGGTGAATCCCTAATTAACACGATAGCCAATCTATTGTTATACATGGGGCACTAATTTGAAACTCTGTACAATGAGTGAAATTATTTAAAAATAAACGAAAACTTCTTATTAGGTACTAGGTATGCTTAATCCGAGAATTGAACCCGACACTCGCCTAACGAGGATTTTACTTTCGAATCAGTTGTCACACTTAGAAACACAAAACTTATTAATCTCGAGTTAATAAAGTTTTATAAATAGGAACTCGACTTAAAGGAAGTTTGTAAAGACGTTTTTTATCGTAAACAAAACATAACAAGGCAGTAACTCCTATGGCTATGACGTTGTACAATAAAACGTTTAGGTTTACTTACGCCCAAACCCTTCATCCGAACGTTCGATTCAAACAGTAATATAAGTTAAACGAGTATCTCCTAAATTTTAGCGTCCGTAAAGTGAAGATGTCATTACGCTGAAGACGTAAGAAACATCACTGAATACCGTTTTATTGTTTGAATATAAAGGGGCCTTTATTATTACTCCGTTTGATTGTAACACGTTTGAATCGAGTTTATGATGAAATTTTACATATTAATCATAGAGATAAAATTGAGTTAGCGGCGGTGTTTTGAACTGGTTCATTAATCATATAGGCAGCTACGTAGATGCTTGCCTACGTATCAATTGACGGTAGATTGTTTCATGACATAACACACCGTGTCTTTTTTTCTCCAAAGAGGGAGGTTCTAATATACCAATGTACTGAGACTCCCTCGTTGATTAAGTGCATGGGGGCTGCCAGGATCACTTTCGAGGCTATAGATATAAGTAGGTACTTTTACCCCTTTTGACAAGAGAACAAAACTAAAAAAATATAAAGGACCATCATAATTTAGGCCTCCTAAGCTAGAACCTGAAGTTAGACAGGTACCTATACTATAAATATTATCAGTAAGTTAAATACGGTATTAAATTAAGGATTGGTCGAGACCACAATCCGAACAATGAGTTCTAAACATCTTGCAAACCACTTACCAATTATAATTATCATACATTCATTACGCATATACTTGTACCTTTATTCATAATATTGGCATGTACATAATTACATAAGTTAATAGATATATAATTTGATACTAATGTCATTCGCTACTTAATTAGTTTGTTCACACATTGGAATTACCTTCTGACATATTAACGTGTCAATTATATATCTACAGATTCTTGGTAATTTAATAAATGCCTCAGTACCTACAGTACAAAATATTATATAAATATAATAATATAAATGGACTGGAGTGGACTGGGCATCAATATCAATGGCGAAGACATTACACACCTCCGTTTCGCCGATGATGTAGACATCATGGCGGAGTCGCTGGAGGACCTAATCACCATGCTCAGCGATCTCGATGTCATCTCCCAACAGGTGAATCTTAAAATGAACATGGACAAGACCAAAATCATGTCAAACATCCATGTTGCACCTGTACCGGTCATCGTTGGGAACAATATCCTCGAAGTTATAGACCATTATACATACTTAGGGCAGATTATACAGCTGTACCTAGCTAGGTAGGTCTAATTTCGACAAAGAGGTCGCCCGAAGAATTCAACTTGGATTCGGGAAGTTACGCGAAATCTTTTCATCGTTAGGGAAGTTACGCGAAATCTTCTCATCGAAAATCTCTCAGTGCCTAAAGACCAGGATGTTCAACCAGTGTGTGTTGCCGGTGATGACGTATGGCACCGAGACGTGGTCCCTGACGTCTGGCCTTCTGGTGAAGTTCAAAGTCGCTCAACGTGCGATGGAGAGAGCTATAATCGGAGTTTCTTTGCGCGACAAAATCCGAAATATGGAAATTCGCCAAAGAACAAGCGTTACCGATATAGCTCGCAAAATTTGAAGACTGAAGTGGCAATGGGCAGGCCACGTCTCTCGAAGGACTGACGGCAAATGGGCCAAGAAAGTCCTTGAGTGGAGACCACGGACCGGAAGACGAAGCGTGGGCAGGCCTCCCGCTAGGTGGACCGACGACATCGCCAGAGTTGCGGGGAGCCAGTGGATGCAGGTGGCGAGTTGTCGTTCGACGTGGAGGACTAAGGGGGAGTGGTCGAGTGGTCGCAAATGCGACTGCCGGGCGAGGGGTTTTAGGTTCGAGTCCCGGGTCGGGCAAAGTATTACTGGGTTTTTACAAAATTCTTAGTAGTAGCACGGAGTCTGGAATTGTGCCCGGTATATGGCAATAGGCTCAACCCCATTACATGGGACTCATAACATAAATAGTGAAAAGTGGGTGTTACATTGTACAGTGGCATGTGCACCTCTGCCTACCCCTTCGGGGATAAAAGGCGTAATGTTATGTTACAGTAGAAAATCACAATTAGGAATTAAGATAATTTCCCAGGTGTACTAAAGCGGTTTTTCCATACTTATTTTTTAATTTAGTAGCTTCTGCATGTTGCTTCATACGCGCAATCCCGTTTTATTCCGTTCCTATAAGATAGAAAATTCTTGAATAAAAAGTATCCTTCTGTTCGTCTTCTAAGCTACCTCCCCCTCAGGATTTTCGGTTTATTATATTTAGATTCAGTCAGGCATCAGGTAGCTAGATCCCATTACACAAACTTTGTCTTCACAACAAAAAGATTAACATCACTAAATGTAACTGCCCAAATATTTTCTCTAATTGAGGGCATGGTGGGGTCCCCAGGTGAAATTGGTTTGGAATGGGCCCTTTTGTAAAATCTCAAACACTTTTTAATGGGTATTGATAATGTAAGTACAAGGATAACTAGGATAAAGGCCTAGATCAATTTTTTCCTAGTTTGTACGAAAACTTCAAAATCTGGATTTAGCCAAAACATGAAATGAAATTTTCACACCTCCATATAATTTTAATACAAGTAGTTAGGTAATTTGTAAATACTGAGTTATAGCGACTTTCGTCTTGCTGTGTAACAACTATATTATACAGCATATTTTTTCATTTGTATATAATACCTGTGGTAATACTTCGAACGTTTTCATTCCAGTTTGTCCCAAAACGTGTCGCGGCTTGATTTATGACGCAAATATTGCTCGTACATTTGTAATATCACTTCAGACATTGATGAATTTGTCATTTTAGCCATGTTGTAGGCTATGGATCAATAAAACGTTTCGTTTATGTTATCCACAATTACTTTCAACGATGGTTTCTGATAACTGCAGGATTTAATCGCAATGCTAATTTTATAATGCTTTTTTATTTTGTATTTACTTATTTCATGTTTTGATATTATTATATTTTAAGGTTTTATAGTGATGTGAGTTATAATAAAAATAAAACACATTTTATTGTATATTGTTTATATTGAAAATGTTCTTACACAAGCTTGAACAAGACAAAACGAAATCCAAATAAGTAAATTGTGCAACAGGCAATAATAACAAAGTTGACTTTAGATCTAATTAAACGTACCTATTACGCGTAAACGCTTCAACAAATAAACATATTTAAAAAATTAAGAAAATTTTACATCTCGAAGCCATTGATAATGCTAGCGCACAACGGCGAAGCAAATATAAATTGTGCACTCAACCTAACATAACTTAGTTTTCAAATAAACACTATTTCCAATGTAACTAAAAACTTAAAGCAATCATTAATAAAGAGTTTTAGAGCAAAAAAAAACAAATATCAGCGTTCTAAACATCGATCTTAAGGCACTGGTATGGAAAGCCTCAGCAGTTGAAGCCATTCTGGCTCTTAGCTTTGCCATTAATTCACAAACATTGCAATGTATAAAAAATTCGACTCTTTGAATGTTTGTACTATCAGGCTTCGATAAGAAAACATAATAATATACAGAATAAATACACTTACTTCACTGATTTTGTCTCCGTAATATTAAACTTACAATAACAACACATTGCGAATAACGTAACATATAGTCTATAAAAGTATATCATAACATAACCAATAGAACCTCAACATTTCAAGTCTATGACCAAAATGTTGACGAACTGAGTATTTCAAACAGATGTTAATGATTCGAGATTTTTTACATGTTAATTTATTTTTGTGTATAAATTTTAAAAATTGTAATATCAACGGCATATAAACTCAATAATACAAGTCTAAATAATCATAGGTACATGAGGGAAGACTGAAATCTTGTAACAACTTACAGAATATTTAATCTTAAATAGGTAAATGCATAGTGATATATTTAAATACAATTGAAAATACTTTAAAAATATTTAAAGTCGCAGAAAAAGGGAAAAGGTAATATAACGTAACGTAGTTATATTGAAAGTCGTACAAATGATTTGTACTAAAAGCATTTATATAATCACGAATATCTGGGTTGCTGTCACAAAGTTCATAAACATTTCTGTTCAACGATATTCCAAAGTAATTACAATGTCTCTCTCATAGCACATCTAACTGGTAAAAATATGTAAAAATCAATCAAAACTCTAACTACATACAAAAATGTCTTTACCATGATATTGAATTCCACAATTGTACTCAGCATACTCAATTGCATTGACACCATCACGTAAAAAAGGTATTATAAAAAATATAGCAAGCACACGGTTCTCAAAACATCGATACACTAAACATAATATATAGTCCATATGAAGCACTGCTCACTGCGGAGAGGAAGAGATTAGCGGAAGCCTTTCGGGCCGAGGTGGTGCATGTTAAAGTGATAGGCGAAAGTAAGCAATGCGGTGCGAGAATCAAATATAAGTAGAAAGAACTGTGCCAGCCACTCGGTAGGCGAGATTCTTTCTACTGCCTCATGTCAACGTGATTGCATGAGGCGCTGGCACTGCGCGAGCAAGTACTTCTTCTGTTGTTCGTCGTAGAGGAATATCACCTTGCCGGAGCCCGACGTCGGGAACATTCCGAGCACCTTCCTCTTCGCAGTCGGGATGTACACGCCCTTGTTCACCGCTGTTGGCACTTCGGGAAGATCAGCCCATAGGTACGACCACACAATCTGTTGAACAGGGAATATATTTAAAAATCGGAACAGCTTGAAAACTCACCGTACAACTTTATTTTGAAAATAAATTATTAAATACTAGTATTTGAGTTAGTAAGTCAAGACATCGTAAAAATAAATCAAAAACATTCGCATGTTATAAGACGTGACCCTCATAAGACCGCTACAGAGTTATTCATGAAATATTTACTAGTTATAGGAAATAGGAACGACCTGCGGAATGAGAGGTGACAGTTTTCTATAAATTATACATGACCTTTCGGCTTCCGATAAACAATTTTAGTCGAAGAGAGAAAAGGTGATGTTTTTGTCGACACAAATTTAAATTATGTACCTTAATTTAGTGCAAAAGTTAATTTAGTATAATATAGACGCATTTTTATTCATTGCATTATTGACGACTAATAACCGCTTAAAAATATCGAATGATAGTTATGCGTCACAAATTCGAATACAATTCGGTCGAATTGATTAGGAAAAAAATTATAAACTATGTAAGCTAATTTATAAGCAACAATAATTGATCGTCGATTGCAATCACTTCTCGCAATATAAAAATTTTTAACTTTGTAAAAAATATTCAAATGGTGCATCATGAAATATTGCTTACAATTATCGCATGCAATAGCAAATTAAAGCGCTCTTTGTATGACATATCACCGGTACTTGTTGTCATCGTAAATGTATTTTTATCGGTGAATACGACCGCTTCGTTTGTGAATGGAACTAAACATTTTTATCGGATAGCAAACAGGGGTCAAACGAGTAGACACATAACGTGATGGTTAATGATTAGTGGTGCTTCAGAAGAGGAGGTATTGGTGAGTTACCGAAGTATGTGTCCAAAGTCAAAGTCAGACTAATGTACGACCGAAAGTTCAGTTTTGGTACCAGTTTCAGCCGGAAAACCAGTTCCGGTCGGCGCTTAGTAATTACTATATTTATAAACTAGCTTCTGCCAGTAGCTTCGCCCGCATTCCCAGGGGTATAAAGTAGCCTATTAGTCCAAACCATAATCTACCTCTGTTCTAAATTTCATCCCGGTCCCTTCAGCCGTTTTGACTTTATTGAGTCACAAACAAACACACAAACACACAATTTTTTTACATTTTATAAATGTGCGACTCAAGCAAATTTCAACCATCAGTAGTACAGTTACGGCGTAGTATCCATTGCGTTGCGGGTAACCTAACATTCATCAAACTTATATTTGCGTTTGGTACAGTAATCGTGTCTCCGCAATTTTTTTAAATTGCGAAACAGTTTTTGGGATAAAAAGTTCCCAGCGTGATGTCCAGGATATTAAAGTATAATAATTATTATACCCATGTTAACTTCTTTTAGAGATGACTGAGAGTATTACAAAAGTAAGAGACAAACATAATCAGAAAGCTTGGAACTGCTAAGCTATTGAGAGCTTCACGTGTTATTGTGAATCAGACAACACGGTTGGTGCAGTGGTCGGGCAACCGCGCAACGTGTCACGGGTTCGATTTCCGCACAGAGCAACTCTTTGTGTGATCCACAAATTGTGAACTTGTATGTTTGTAAACGCACCCACGACACACGAAAAAATCCAAGTGTGGGGCAACGACAGATATGTTCTGTCGTGGGATATTTTTTATATAATAGTATTATTTAATAAAATTTAGTAGTATTAGTTGAAAGGGTATTAAAATTCGAAATAGTCCGTCAGTTAAATAACACGTATTTTTTTTATTTTCTAATATAAGTTACAATACTAATCCGTCGAGTAGTTTTTGTTTTTATAACGGTTATACAGACAGACAAAAATTTTACTGTTTGCATTTTGGCATCAGTATCGATCCTTAATCACTCCCTGATAGTTATTTTGGAAATATATTTCATGTACAGAATTGAACTGTCTACAGATTTATTATAAGTATCGAAGAAGATAAAATATTTATAGGTACCTGCCACCCGCCGAACACATTATTCTTCTCAATGTATAACATCCGTTTGTCTGTGCACATGACCACCTCCTTGCCAGGGATCACCCACACGTGAGCTTCGTATCTATCAGTGCTGACGTATTTGCCCTATTTTGAAAAAATAAAATATTTAAAAAATGATACAAAATACACATTTAAAGAAAGATTAAAAATATTGTTTATTTTGAAAACTTAGTTGTTCGTTCTTGTACGAATTGGGTGTGATGTTACTGTAGTAATAAAATGAGACCAAAATTAACAACCATTAAATCATACAAAGATTTTGAATTGATGAATAAGATTGGTTTGATTGACAAATAATTATCAAAAACCCAGATCGATTCAGAGGTTTTAGATTAATATAGGTTGTTTTAAACTCAGGAGTTACCTTTTCCAACTCGAATAACATTTTGTATCCTTCAGCTTGCAGCCTGGAGTATGGCCTGACTCCCGAGTCAGGAGCCATGTACCGCGCCGGGCGACGTTTGGTCACCTCCTCAGACAAATCCGCCGCTCTACATTTACAGTTTGAGATTAATATAAGTAATTTGATTTAGTAAGTCGTTATAAATAGTGAAACTGACGAAATAATGCAGAAAATGTAAATTTAGTTTCTTTAGAGTGGGATTAGTTTCATTATTGTGTGAGTCACAACCTCTTGTTAGATAGAATACACAAAAGCATGTTATGCTAAAAGCAGAAAAAGCGGCAATATTACATACGAAGTATTAGCGTCAATCAAGATAATGTCAGTTAAACTCCAACACCTTTTAAATACAACGGAATAAATAGATAAATATGTATGAAATTCACCGTCTATCTGCACTTAGGCTATTTTTGTAAAATCTAAACTAATCTGTTTGTGATAGCAACATAATATAGCCTAATACCTGGATTAAGTATATGGGTCAGTGTAAATACCTACTGATTTTATATTATCACGTTATAGACTAATCCTAATATCGTTACATTTTAGCTACAGAATGTATAACTAGTGAACCTTTTTAAAGTTATGCGATTGTCCTAGTACCTGATCCAACATAACGTATGATTACACCCATGTTGTCTACATAAAGCTACAAGTAGTAAGTACCAACATACAACATAGTCCCTATACGCAATCTAACTATACACTATCAATACACCTGCAGTACATGATATAAGACTACGAAACAATCTAACTCCGGTAACCTCACCACCTCTTAACAGATGTGAGTAGTCCGGAGGTGAAGTCGACGACGCCGCCGACGGGGCGCACTACGAGGCCCACGGCGCCGCGGCCGAGACCCTTCACGAACCCCCCCGCGCCGCCCTCGTGCGCCCCTTGTATCGGACGTATCAACACGCCGCGGACTCCGTCCACTACACCCTGACATTCAGTTAACATACAGTCATAGCGAAATAAAATCCTACGTTTATGAGACATCAATAGAAGAGTGATCGCTGCTTATCAACCCACAGATAGATTGAAAGGTAAACATGAAGAAGTGCGATACAAAAATCAACAGTGCAATCGTGGCAACATTCAACAACAGTCATGCGATGCAGGCGAAGCATGCAGTGGTAGCATGCGTGTGACGTCACCTCTTGACGGCATCGAGTGACCCGGACGCGAAGTCCACGACGCCGGCAGTGGGTCTGGCCACAAGCCCCACTGCGCCCCGGCCGAGTCCCCGGAAGAACCCTTCCACTCCCTGCTCACGAGCGCCCTCTATAGGCTTCGTGAATACCCCTGTCACGCCGTCTACCACGCCCTGTTTAATTGTTTGGGATTGTAGAACCACACAGCACTTATGATATCTTGATAAAATCGATATAATAACCATCCATATTAGCTATCATTTCTGTGCAAAGTTTATTTTAAGTAATACCAAATACAATCTTTATAGAAATTTGAAATGGCTAGAGAAAATCTAATTTATTCAAAATTGTTTACTGGAAGTAATACGTACCATGACGAGTCCTTTACCACTTCTCGCGAGACCTTCTTGAAGGTTCGCAGGTGGCTTGTTAATATTGTCGCGACGACGACGTTGGTAGTCCTGCATAAATCATTGATTTGTATAGTCATATTAAAAACCGAAAAATGGTTGCGTTTCTTATACATATCTGTTCAAAGCTACAGCTTTTTTATTACTTTTTATTAGTATATTACCTTATCGAGAGACAAGGCAGCGAGTCCATGTCCCATGGCGCCCGTAATCCTAGACACTGCCCCGGCCGCGCCACCCACTGTGTGCCCCACTAGTGACCTCACTCCCAGGAACAAACCTTCGGCAAATTCTCCTGGACCTTGGATAGCACCCTGTAAGAAGTTACTTTGTTTACATCTAAACATTCTTAGGTAAAAAATAACGAATGGGACTATGAAAAGAAAACGTCTGTCTCATTAATTCGTAGTCAATTAGATGCTGAAAAAATTAAAGAAACCTATTTTCTAACAAGAGGGGTCACTACGTCACTTCGACGTGTCATGTGTTCGTGGACATTAGGCGATATTTCAATTCAATGTATCATTTTAAGTTTTTTTATTTAAGTCATCTTCAAATAAGTAAGTGAAATATTATAAGTACTTAATAACCTGGAATGGCTCATAGAAGAGATCCTCCACACCTTTCTTCAAGCCGACGACCAATCCGTAGGGGTTGCCTATTACATCGAGTCCAAGTACAAGCACATACAGTTGTTTTAGTGCTTGTCCCGTGTAATGGCTCTGAACTTGACCAATCATTTCCTTCTGAGATAAGAACTCATAGTTCCTTTCGTAGTAGGACAATCTGGTAGAGGGTGGAATTAAATTAATGACATAGTTTGAGAGAAAACAACATACAATAACATAATTATTAGGTTTGACAAAGTATTTCAAGATTTTTCCGAAACATAGAGTATCTTAAACATTCAGTTTATTTTATAGTTTCCTTTCCAAAACAAGATTTTCAATAAAATTAAAGAAATTAATGTTCTTACTTGAAAACTACATCGTTCATATCTGTCAACGTTACGCCAATGCTCTGGAGAACTGTGCCAACGAACGTTGGCAGTTGAGTAGCTCCACCGAGAGAGAACGAAACATGAACCTAAAACATAATGAAACAAGGTTAAAATTCAAATAACTTTAGGTAAAAATGTACTTTGTTTCGTTATTAATTTACCTTGAGCGGTGACAAATGTAAATTGTCGTAGAAATTCTTGAGATCTGATGCCACACCTAAAGCAGCTAACGCTTCTAATGGTTGTCCTGCCTTCTCTAAATCGAGTTGGAATGCGTCCAGCTAAAAGAATATTAAAACATTCAATTCGAAGTTTTCAACAATGGTATTCAAAGGCCAAAACTCTATTTCACAAATGTTTTACGGTATTAAGAGGTCAACTGAACTATAGATAGTGTATTGAACTCTTACCGCTTCCTGTTCATTCAGCAATCGTTGAGGGAACATGCCCATGAGTGCGTTGACGAGTCCCATATCGACCTTAACATGGAACTCTTGTATCAACACCTTATAGTACTTGTATTGCCGCACTTTGCTGTGTTCCATCAATCGTTCCACTATCGACACTTCAATGAACGGCTTCATACCTAAAATATAATACAGTTTTAATCCATGTTCTCATAACACATTGAGTATTAATAAGCAAGCATAGCGTTAAGTATTTAATTTTCTAGCGATATCTAGCATTCGCTGCATACCTCGGGCTACGTGCATACCAAACCCCGGTCATGCAAAAAGATAAAACACAATTTAGGAAAAGAGGTCAAAAATGCTAATACGATTTAATTCTTCAAAATATCAACCCTTCACAACTTATGAAGGGTGACATGACGATAGTGATTATACTGTTTGTCACACTCAACAATCAAAATATTATGAGATACAGAAAAGTCTCAGAGTTATCTCAAGTGAAGATAATGCTTTTAGTACGTCATATCAATCATAAGTATAAGTGAGTGTTTAAAAATAATTAAAATAATTTGTGTATTTAACAGCCCATGTCATTCCTTTGCTGGCATGTCATAGACCTCTTCTACATAAACGGTTTTCCTATAATCACTTGGTAGAAGATAATGGAAAATACAAGCTCGGTATCTATCAAATGTGTAATCCATTAATCGACAGAGCGATGTGTTCTATGTGTTTGAACTCAATGTCTACATAGCTATCTTCCCTATAACTACAGTCATGTTTATCACGACTATTGTTAGAAGACGTACAGATCAAAAATAATTCTTTAGAGGTTAAATGAGATGTACTGACCGCTGGGATCTTCGTTGGTGATGGAGCGGGGCGGGGGGACGGGGGCGAGCACGACGGGGAAGGTGGGCAGCGGCAGTTGCTGGTCGATCTGCAGGCGGTGCAGGCGCGCGTGCAGGCGCCGCGAGTGCGCCGTGAGCCCGTACGACGCCCACAGCCCCGGCTGCAGCGTGCGCCGCAGGATGCGCACCGCCGGCTTCAGCTGCCGCAGCTCCTCGAAGTCCACCTGCAACATGCTCCTACATGACTACCAACTATTATGAAATCTGATTGTACACAGCTTGTAACCTCAGTATCTTCTTGTAAGCGGATTTTAATAAATATTAATCGCTTTGTTAAGTTTCGTTTTATTTACACTTTCCACATAGACTTTGTTTATTACCATTATATAGTTATGGAAAAATGCATTTTGTACCCAACATAGTCACGAAGTCCTATAAGGTGTTAATAACTAACATAACACGCACAGCCGTATAACAATTATTTAATATACCTCAACTTTCTCATCAATAAAGACACGAGGGACCACAGGCTCGTCGTTAACCATCTTTTCAGATATATATCTTTGGTAGCACTCTTCTAATTGCAATACTTTTGTTCCTTCGATTTTTTTGTAGCGGCGTGCACCGGGTTTGCACTGTTCCCATATTATACCAGAACTATAAGAAAAAATTAATTATATTTAGACGAAATAACACAAAACAAAATGTCATAAGAAATAAAACAATTACGCACTTGGATATACTGATGTAGACAATTTCGAGTTGTTCTGGGTCGTTTACCAAGGACAGTCCAATGCCTTGCATGGACAATACTAGTTCAGTGTCCACGGATTCCGCTTCACCAACAGTATATGCATTGCTGGCTAGAATGATGTCGTCTGTGAATAGTATCACGCGCTGCAATCCGTCCAGGAACGAGACCCAATGTATCTTGGTGTGATCATTGATCCTATGAATAAAAACGCACATTATTAATACTCATTGAAATAACGTCGTATTTATTGCTACCACATTACCAGCCTATAAGTGCCTACTACGGAGTAATGGCCTCTTCTCACATGAAGATGGATTAAAATACTAAATGAGGCCTAAAATACTAATTGGGCCAAGATAGATGAGAAATATATTTAGATTTTTTAAATTTTATAATACTGTTTGCTATTGTTATTTATATCATTGTCTCTAGTTTCTGTTAAAAGTGTTATCGTTAGGTTGCTATACATGTTGTGCCATCTTAAAATGTTGTGCATTTAAAATGTATTATTATGTAAGTGCTTAGATGTAAGACCTAATGTAATAACTACTGGTTGTCCAAATTATAAATAAATAAATAAAAAATATTGTAACGAAACTATAAGAATAGAGCTATCAATGTTGCTGCATGCACTTATACTCCTGCTTAGTTTAATATCCCATTTAATTAAGATATATGAGTGAAAGAATAAAAGAATAGAAAGCCAGTAAAATCTTATTCGCAGTTTCTTATGGTTTGTCTACAAATATATCACACCGATGTCGACCTAAGTATAGTTAGGAATCTCTCTGTATTCATACTTACATGAAATGTCCAAGACCGTCTTTCCTCAAGTCGTTTTCAATCTCTCTCTTCTTGTGACTTTCAAATATTAGAACGCGCGGTCCAGCTGGGTTATCCCATGTGTACAACATTTTATGCATTGATTTTAAAAACCTGAAAATTACCAATTTGATAACTTTTAAGTAACACTAAACCAGAGGTACTCTTCAGTGTAGTATCAGTAGCTAGTGTTTCTGTTAAAAATGAAACCTTTCTTAAGTTTTTTAATTAATGTTTGTCTAATAAACAATTATGTTACTCACTTAACATTAACGTTCTCCTTCTCGTAGACAGTGATATTGTGCGGTGTATAGTTGACGAGTAAGGCAGGTGCGTGTCCGTCGCGGTACTGTCGCACTGTGATGTAAGTGCCGCCTTCACTCAGTTGTACTTCGACGTGTAGACCGCCAAACTGTCACGTCACATTAATTATTGTTATTTTCTACAATTTATACTACTACTATAATAAACTGTAATGTTTATTATGTAGATACTTTACATGAAGGGTAAAACGTTTCATTTTATGTCTCAATTGAGATGTTGTAATCTTATATCCAGTCATTTCTAAGGCGAAACTGCAAGTTTCGCTCGGCACTTACGATTGAAATCCAATTTGTGTAGTAACTATATAGTAGTAACTAATAAAATACATCAACTTATATATCTTACTTCATTGTCCAGCTTCAAGCAGACTGAATGCTGTTCGGTGTATAAGAATGGAGCAGCATGTACTGGGGAGCAAGCGACGCGCAATAACAATAGTTTGTCTTCTTTTTCTATAACAGGCCACAATGGAGCGCTTGAGTTTTGTGCCACCTACAACGATACAAAATATTTAGTTACACTGAACCACTATTACAATCACAATAAAACAACAAATGTATGTTATTTTTATGGCATATGCCAGTAAACGAGCAGACGGATCACCTGATGGTAAGCAATCGGCGTCGCTCATGGACACCTGGAACACCAGACGCGTTACAAGTGCGTTACCGGCCTTTTGGGGATTAGGAGTTTGAGGATCGTTGGGGATTCAGGAATTGGGGAGATTGGGGAAGGGGAGGGTAATTGGGCCTCCGGTAACCTCACTCACACGACGAAACACAACGCAAGCGTTGTTTCACGTCGGTTTTCTGTGAGGCCGTGGTATCACTCCGGTCGAGCCGGCCCATTTGCGCCGAAGCATGGCTTTCCCACACTTTGTCGTATGTAACCCGTTCGCCGATAAACGGTTCCGTCAAACTTCTAATAAAACAGAATCGGCCTATGATAATTATATCTACTAAGTGAAAAATAAAATTTCTATATGTTGTCTTACCGTAGTCCAAGGGTCACCAGATCTATGTAGCTCTTGATATTGGATATCAAAAGGCGCCTCATTGATGATCAAGAAATATGGCGTAAATATCACCATTTTAGTCAAACTGTTGAATGTAAGTTGATTTGTAACTGCCACCTATAGGGAAAAAATTAGATTTAAAAATAAGGACTAAACTATGATAGTTTTTATAAGGGTGTGGACGTGTGAACTGTGAACACAGCATAAGAGTAACATTGGAAAAAGACGAGAATTTGTTGAGATCCTGATTTACCTGATACGTCCTGCCCTCGTGCTTGCATAGTACAACACCGGAGCTTCCAGGAACATCAAGCGAGAACTTATCGGACCATTCACCAAATTCAACGCGAATAGCAGCTTTCTTCTTGCCGAAGAAATTCTTTGCACGGAATGAGAACAGTATCGGTTCCTTATATTCTTTAGGATGGAATATCACGTTACCAGTTTCGTCCACATTCTAAAAAATAAAATAGTAATTAAATATTTTTCAGTTGTAGTCGTGTAAGCCCAATGCTGCAGCGAGTAATTTTGCATTAACCTGTACCACAAAGCTTGCTTACCGTTACCACGAAGCTAAATAACAAAATATTAACAAGTTCGGTGATGTATATGGAACTCAGGTTAATGTGTGACCATGCATACTATCAAAAATGATACAAATCCTACGCTAATGTATACACAATAATACTTATAAAAATACATGCTGCTAAAAAGCAAAATAAAATAAAACCAGTAGGGTCATGGTAATCCACCCACAAAATAAAAGCTATTATGTGTGCATTTTATCCTTTAAAACAATATGCAAACAACCCAACACAATACACACGAACCTCATAAGCCTTTTTTTACATTTTCATTATTTTTGTACCCGGTAGTGACAATCCTAAAACTGATTGTAATTAATACCAAAATCCTCTTGAGAGTGCTTAATGTAGCAAAATAAATTAATAACTTTATAGTGCTTTAATAATGTTTGCACTTACCGGCAAACAAGACGTATGGCGTCTAATAAATTTACTGCAACGTGAATATTTAATCTGTAATTTATATAAAATGGACAACGCATACAATATTCGTTATAACTCAAATTAAAACACAGATTTACTTATCTAACTTATTACACCACAGTTACTGTGTCAAGTAGGTGTAAACGTAGGTACAATTTTACTTATGGATTAGGCTATGACCCCACTGAAAGACGCATGCTACAATAAAAAATAACGGTTACAAGGCAATGATTATAAATATCGAAATCAAAAAATCCTAAAACTATTGCTTTGAGATGAGGCTTGTTAGACATAGGAAGCAAAACCGACCGAGTCGAGGATTAAAATAAAAATAATGAAAGAAAAAAATCTATTAAAAATATTCACGATTAAGATCATCTCAAAGATACCTTGCTGGGAGTGCTGGAGTCTTTTTCTGGTTTCTTTGATTTCTGTAACCACGTAATGTATTTATGGCCAATATGATAATATAAAGATCTACTCCAAAAAGTACGAATTACGAATGAATTCGACGTCATTAGATGCCAATGAATTATTTAATAGATAGACAGTTATAAGAGCCTAATAGCATTTCTACTTACTGTACCACTCATACTTGATAGCTTCGAAAGAATACATAAAAGTACGGAAAGTAAAGATACGGAAGAGGTTAAATGATCAATACTATCTAGTTTTTAATATTCAATATTACTCTTACATTATCACACGAGTCGCCTGTCTAATGGTTTAGTACTTTAAGAGAATGAAACATTAATTCAATTGTAATAGACTGAGTTGAACTCACTCATACATAACATGCCAATTTAACGACGGGTACTGCAGCGATGAATAAAATTATGAATTTAGATTTTTCACTCACATAAACACTCGAAGCCAATTAATTTTGACGCCAAAACCATCGCTTCCACAAAAAACCCATGATTCTAGAACACTTCAAGAGCAAATTAGAATATTTAGTACTTACCCTGTAGCATAAAGTGAATCCTGTTTTGTTGAGCATCCAGAAAGGACAATACAGTGACAAGACTTGTGTGCCCTCCAAATCCACACTATGCATACCCAAGTCTAACGTCATTACTGACGGACTGTCGTGAGATTCAAACGACCATACTGACAGCTCAGTATCACTTTCCGGAAGATTTTTCGTACATACCCAACATTTGTCAAGATAGTTTTGGATCTGAAACGACATAAGAAGGTACTCAGTAGGACGTAATCTATTCACTGTGAGATGGTTAGCATCCGGCTTAAATTGTAAATTCTGCTTTAATCTTACAAATTATGAAACCACTTTCATTTTATTATATTTTCACTTGAACCATACTTCACTTGACACAATAACATTTTGAAGTGACTTATTGTAAACTTATTTTGTATGTATGTATGTTTATTAAAATAATAATATTGTTTACTGTTGCATAATGATAAGTATGTAGTTACGTTTTTAGAAATAAGATGTCTTCCTACAAAAGTAATGTATAGAGCTCCTTTCGCCTGCGATACAGGATTGTCCTAGTGCAGGCATCTAACTTTATGAGATCAATTTTACTTACTTGAAACATATTTTGTATTTTGCATTTTTGAATTATGAATAAAATTTTATTTTATTTTATTTTTATTTAACCGGAACATATTTCTACTTTTACGCAGAGACTTTTCTGAAAAGACTTATTACAACAACCTTTATTATTATTGATTGAGCTTACCATAATAACAATAGACGCTCTATTCGGCGATAAATGAGACAAATGGAACATCTCTCCAGGACGGAACACTTGAGTTCTCTTCAATCCAAGTTGTGAGATCACGATCTCAACTGGCAGACAGTTCTGTAGTTTGACGGCAGGTTTGAGTACAATGTCGTAGCAAGAGGACGCGAATGTATGGCGGGTTGTGTGCTCGTAGAATACTTGCTCCATTGTGCCGACCGCCTAAAGGAAAGGCATTTTTTAGATAATCGCTATTTCGAAAATGATAAGAAATGTTTAGCACATCTTTCAAAGAGTAAAACATATGTTACATGAAATATTGGCTATGTGCGCGACGGTGGCGACGCGTAGCGTTTACAACATTTGCGGAAGCTGTCAAATAACAACAATGTAAACATTATAATTTTCTTTGCAAATATAAATAAAACTAAAGATTAAAATAGTATTGTTGACATTATTTAAGTGCAATTCATTCAATAGTTTTACTGTAAAATGAATATAATAATAAAAACCGGGTTTGCATCATCCGCATTTGTTTCCAATTTCTGCCGTGTTGTGCGCTGCGGTCGTTATCTGTCCGCCACTACTCGCTTTGCACATAGCCAATAAGTACTAGGTCAGATTTTCATACCTTTATATAGAACTTCTCTCCACTATTCTTATCTTTAGAATCACACTGCAGTAGTCTGGATATATTAACTTCTTGTTGCAGTTCACGCCAGATGAATGGTGATACTGATACTGTGAAACCTAAATGAACATACAAACTCCATTAAAATGGTAGTTTACTTTTGAAAAGATATAAGTAACGCACTTATATTCGATAGGTTTTCGACCTTATTCCAAAATAATAATAAAGTTGAAAACCTATTGGTATGTCAAACTGTAGGTAGGTACATTGTTTTATGCAACATAGTTTATAGAAATTACAATAGCAATATACCTTCAACAGAAAAGAATAGCTCAGCAGTGGGCGTATGCACTGCCTGCAGTGGTAGTCGTATGATTTCCCCCGGCTTCACCTCGCCCAGTAGACGCACCTCGTTACCACTCAGTGTCATGTAGTATACTGATACGTTCACTGACAATGTGTTTGTAACCTATACATAAAGATATATTTTATTAAACAGGGAACAAGTTCTGCTGCGTCTAGTTTCTTTTTCTAGAACCATTCAAAGTCGGTTTCGTCAATAGTTCAAGAGAGAAAAAGTGAGAGAGATGGGAGAAATTATAGAAAGAAAGAAAGAGAGGGAGATTTTCTCTTTCTCTCTCTCTCTCTCTCTCTCTCACACACACACACACACACAAACACTCTCTTTCTCCCCCTTACTTTTTAATGGAACAGGGGCCAATTGAGCCGATGGAAAAGCTGTTTCTAAACAATCAACGCCACCAATGTCGATTGGGGCTTGGAACCCACTTTCTTCCTCTCTGTCTTTCTTTCTATCATGTCTCCCATCTCCTTTACTTTTTATCTTTTTTAACCGTCAGTTGATCAGTTAAAATCAGTACCAACTATTATCACCTTCCCTAAATTAACTATTAAAATTGACGTGCACATTGAATACAGTAACAAATTATTACTAGGTACCTGTACAACACTTCTAAGATAGATATGCAGCGCGGCGTCCTGCATGACGACATCAGAGATGAGTCCGCGCGGCTCTATGGCGGCCACGTGCGGGACATTCTTCTCACTCGCATTGCCAGACAGCTTGCGACCTAGAGGGAAGTAACGCTTGTCTGCACGGTCTACGGGGATCTGCACCTCGTCTTCTATTTCCACAATCTGTAAGAAACATGGCATTTTTTATTTACATAGAAATAGAAAGAATGAAAGAAAACGTTTATTACGCCACGACACACTTGCACACAACAATACAAGAACACACAAAAATAAATTCATGGTACGTCGCAGCGCAATAGTTTATTCACGTTAAGTATCGTATACAGAAGGTATAGATTAAATAGTCTTACAGCAAACATAGGTATATGGAACAAAATAAAAAAAAGTCTAGCCTATACCAGAGACAGGCATAACAGTATAATTATAATAACGTATTTTGTTCTAAAATAACTAAGACTTACCTTAACACTTAATTTGAGTGGAGGTGGTGGTTCGTTCAGTTTCATCAAATTCAATCCGCCATGTTTAAGCTGCAATGGCACACAAGCGCCCGGTTCCAAAACCACTTCCCTAAAACAAATACCCGTATTTTATCGCCTGAGTACTGAAATGCTACTCCATATTAAGTTGTACTTAAATATCATACCATCCCTATCATTTTACAAAGAAATAGTAACAAAACTATACTTAAAGTTGAGTGGCGTTTGAGTGTTTGGACAAAAAGGTGGCTCATTGAGATATAATAAATGTGTATATGTACCTGTAGTCCGAGGAAACATATTCTTCAGTAAGACAAACAGTGAAGTCGTGGTTTTCTTTCAACATCAACTTAGCCGTGAGACCGGTGCAGTTGTGTAGAACGTAAGGGGCCCCGAGGAAGGTCTTTGTAAACGGCTGAAAATAATGTCACATATAAAGTACACATAAAATCATTATTTAATTAATTAATCATGACCATATTATCAAATAGGTAACAATAATTAACTTTTGCATGTCAACGGGCACATCATCAATGAAATAACAATTATCGTTTTAAACTTTATCTTTGCAAATAACAAAGTCATTATAGAGGAATTGTCTTTAATATTTCATTACTCACATCGACTTTAGACTTTGAAGTGGTTGTCCCCTCGGGAGACGTTTCCCCAGCGGCAGAAAATGAGTTTCCTAGTAAAGTCAATACCTAAAATAAAATGAGTGTCATTAATATCACAACATAACATTAACATAAGATTACGCCTTTTATCCTCGAAGGGGTAGGCAGAGGTGCACATTATACCACTGTACAATGTAACACCCACTTTTCACTATTTATGTTATAAGTCCCATGTAATAGGGGGTGAGCCTATTGCCATATACCGGGCACAGTTCCAGACTCCGTGCTACTACTGAGATTTTTTTTAAAACCCAGTAATACTTTGCCGGACCCTGGAATCGAACCCGAGACACCCTGACCGGCAGTCGCAATTGCGACCACTCGGCCAACGAGGCCGTCTAATATCACAATATTGATGTTATTCGGCTATTTCAATTACATTATAAGCACAAAACTACTAATGGTCCTTGATTACTTTGTATACCATTTATCGATACTAAGGCAGGAAACAAAATAAAATAAACCGAATGTACTTCCATCCCTACGACATGATAGAAACAAGTTTTATTTCATGATAAGGAAGTTGTGGTACACTATAGTTTCCAATCCTCAAATCCCCAATCCCGAAAAGTCAGCTACGCACTTGTAACTCCTCTCGTGTTGCGGGTGTCTATGGGCGGCGCCATTCAAATGATGAATCTGCTCGTTTGCCGCCTTAAACCAAAAAATATTACGATATATTCTCACCTCCATGCCAGTCCTAGTAATGGTGATCTCGAGTGGTTCACTACTGGACAAGGTGACAGTCTTACGAGCTTGTCTCTGGGCCACAGCTTGCAAGTTAGCAGCTTCATCCGTCGTATCTATTATTGTTGGCGCCTCTTGTGCGTGCATCACTACCTATTTATTCAAAAAAAAATATAAAAATAAGCCTTATTCGTTAAACATCAAGGTCTATATTTAAATTAAATGAATCTTGTTAAGAGACTGATGGTATACTTTACCTCCATTTTAAGTTCCCAAGGCACGTGTTTATATTGGTAATCTTTGAGCACTTCCACAGGTTCTATAAGTGGCTCCCACACTGCGCGTTGAATGTTATAGTACGACACTTGCATTGCCCATGTCGACTCGGCGTAGAACTAAAAAGAAACGTTGCTAGTCATAGTGGGTTAAAATGTGAGAAGCACCAATTTTTAAAAAGTTATGTGGTTCCAATACACAGGAATAATAATAATAATCGTTCCAATACACAGGAATAATAATAATAATCATTCCAATTAAATTTTAATAAAAAGTTCGTTTTACTCACATCCGAGCTCCAATCTTTGACTTGTCCAGTGAGAGAAGCTTGCATGACCAGCACAGGTATAGTCTCATTACCGATCTCCATTTCAAAGGAAGTGATGATCGATGGACAGGACAACAAACAAATCTCCCCAATTGGAGGATTGGCGTCCATCTCTACATATGAGTCGTCCTCAGCGTCGATCGCTTCCACTGCTTTTTCTATCGACAAAATATGTCATTTGAGTACTTTTAACAACTTCAGGATACTAATGGCCGTTCTCACAAACCATCCCTAAACCGTCTCTTAGCTAAGAGTTACTTAGCGCGAGGGAGCCACTTAACTAACTCTTTATCTTCACCGAAAGGTTGGTAAATTGGAAATAACAGTAGAACATAATCATACCTGTTTTTAAGAACCAATAAGAATTAGGATTGAAAGGTTGAATGGCCCACAGATGATCGTAGAATATTGCCTGGCTTTCTTCTACTTGGTTATTTTCGTCACTGCTTGTCATAGTTGCCAACACACGATTTAGCAGGGCTATGATATCTGTGAATAAAAAGAATAAAGTAGTTTTGGGAATAATTTGTTGTGGTCAAAATTAAATTTATATTTGCTTTTGTAATTTTGAATGCAAAAATTCCACAGTGAAAACTACACTTAAGCGGTAGACTGACCAGGCGACACGGTGATCTTGATGTCAGTGATGGCGAGGTCTATGTGCATCCCGCTGCAGGGCGGCTGCGACAGTGCCAGCGACAGATGCGTGGGCGCCAGCAAGTACCGCGGGCCCGCGCCCGCGCCCGCCGGCGGCTGCAGGCCCCGCCCGTCGGCGCCCAGCGTCCGCACCACCATCTGTAGCCCGGATATCCCTCCGTCGGCCACCATACGCTCCACACTGCGCCTCAGCTTGAACCGTGCCTCCATCTACGCATGCGTACACGCATTTATTAACTCATACATTCCAAATACAGATACAGAAAACTAAAGTCATCGATGCCCTCAGTTACGCACAGAAATTAAAATGGCGATGGGCAGGACATGTAGCTAGACTCAGTGACAACCGCTGGACAAGAAAAACAACATCATGGTTAGGACCTTCAGGTCAAAGAAGAAAGGGTAAACCAAATGCACGATGGACAGACGACATATTAAAAATAGCAGGAAAAAACTGGATGCGAATAGCAGAAGATAGAAATCACTGGCTATCTCTGGAGGAGGCCTTTACCTTCCAAGAGAGGGGTTCTTGAAAGAAAAGGAGGAAAGAAGAAAGACTTTCTGTAACTAACGGATACTTAGTTTTCAATGTATTTTTTTTGTTTTTATTTTTATAGCAAGAAATAAAAGGCTTTTTTATTTTTATTTTTATTTTTTTATTTATTTTTATTTACATTCCAAATTGGTCTTTGATGCGTTAATTACGTGTCGAAATTCGTCGTGGCAAGTCCAAAGATAAAGTGTAGCCAACACCGAAGGAAATCAAATCTAAGGATTTGTAAAATTAAAACCGTCAATCTGCCTAGAACCGGCGCTTAATATGATCACAAGTTTAGAAGTGGGACAGTGTACTTCTTACAATACACTGATTAATGAAGTAAATAAAACTTATTATAACTTATATACAACTAAACTAAACCATAATATCAAAATAGAAATACGTACATTCAACACCAAAGCTTCACAATGTTTCATTTCCAGGGATTCCACGAGAATAATATCTGGTTGTTCAATCTTTATATTGACTGTCATCATCGATAGTACTGGTGGTTCGGCTACTGCAGTCGATACTGCTGTAGATTTCCTCTTCTGTCGAATAAAAGACGATATTATATTATTATTGATCAGTTTCACTAAAAAATACCTAAATGCTAAGTCAAGTTTGAAATTTGTGTAGTACAAAGCTTTTCTTAGAATAATTATTTTGGATTATAGTTTACCGCTACAACATCAATAGATTTATCAGGCATTCGCGGGGCTGCTGCCTCATCCTTCGGTTTCTCTCCATCGTCCGCCATTCCGGTCGTCATAAACTCCGCGATCTTATTCAGGAAATCCATAGCCAATATGAGATCAAAACTGAAGATTCTCATGTCAACTGCAACACATAATATTGGTGTGAAAAAACTTAAAATAAGTACTACAACGGTAACTATAGTAGTTTTGGATTATTGTGTAGAGCCCCTATAACTACACGGACTAACAGGTGAAAAATTTATATTAGATTTAAAAATACGTGGTTCACCGTCTGGCGTCTGCGCCTATTAAGGCGTATGGAAAATGCTGTCATGTATACAACTTACATAATATTTAAATTTGAAAAGTGTCTCTAATCTATAGATTGATTTAAACCATAATAATTATAAACTATTTGCAATATTCATTGAAAACGTTACGGCGAAACTTACTGAATGTATCATTATTCTTCATTGTGTAGGTGACGTCGATCATGCTGCGTATCTTGTCTGGCGCCTCCATCGCACTGTCGTTACCAGTAATAGAGTCGGATCTGTGGGACCGACGTCTTTCTAGGTATCTGTTAAACAATTCAATATTTTTTTAAACCAACCAATAATTACAAAAAGAATAAAAACTCAAGCTTAGAAATTTTTAACGTTACACTTTTTAATTAATTATTTTTTCATTATATTTAACTTTTCAGTACACCGGAATCTAATATGTTGCACAATCTATGAATTAAAATCATGACCCACTTTGAAAATAAGTCGATTATTAACACATAACATAACATTGTGATGAATTTTCCCTTCACCCCATATTATGGCATCTAATGCCACTATTTTTTTATTATTATTTTTAAATGGGAACAATACTGACCTGGTCAGCTTACTCCCTCTGCCTGGTCGTGTGTCATCGAGCGTACAATCAACAAGTAACACAGAGGTTTGCATAGAACCATCTGATAGCATTCTGCCTTTCACTGAGAGCAGTGCCATACAGAAACGCGCAAGATCCACGTCTTGGGAGAACATTGAATATTCTCCGTCTTGTACCTAAAAATATAGTAAGTCACAATTGCGAGAAATAATAATATAGTTTAATAATATCTTTGTCTAAACAAAGTACTATTCAAAAGAATTATTAGAGAGAACAATCACCTACTTACAGGAGAAATGGTATTAAGTAGATCTATGACGAAGCTGTCCATAGTGAAAGAGAACTTAATAGTAGTTCTAGGTTTTTTTACTATATTCTCCTTGGACGATATGACGGCAGCCACAGACTTGGATTGTGTTTTACTCGGTCTCACAGTAGCCTTCGATGCAGTTTTAGCTAGTCCTGCAGCGGCTTTATCTTCGGCCTTTGCACCTTCTTGCAGATTTTGGTTAATTATTTTCATAATACTCTTGTAATCGCTATGACCTACTGTGATCTGAAATTTAAGTCAGGTTAAAAGTATTGTCTACTTAAAAGAACGAATAGGTTGTGTTCTCTTCAGTGTAGTAGCACTTACGGCAATGGTTTTCATCCTGCCTGAAATATCCAAGTCTGGCAATGATTCATACCAGATTGAAAGGCTACGTTTAACTAAAAGTTTGAAACTGGTCGGCCGCAGCAACTTCCTTTCTTGTATAGCGTCTTTGTAATTATCTTCGAGCTTTACACACGACACTTTCATATCTTCAAGTTCAAGAGTTAACTCGTCCACTGTTACTTTGTTGCTGACATCCTAAGAATTATAATATGACAAAATATAACGTCACACTATCAGATATTAGACTATTTTACTTCTAGATACATTCATAGACTCATCCACTTAATTTCAATGCAAACAAAAAAAAATATTCGTAGTGGATGTGTCCGAAATTGTACTTATACATTTTTGCATACTCACAACGACATTCAGGTCCACGAACTTGTTGTTTATAGTTATTACACCCAAATCTATGAGCATTGCGTTATTACTCCTGGAGTTTTCTGGCACAATAATGATAGGAGCAGCTAGGCGTACTTTAAGGGATAACTTTGTTGAATTTGTGTAAGCATTTTGTACGTTTGCCCTTGCTGCGTCTGCGGCTTGTGATGATGCGTCAATGATCGCTTGTTGGGCAGTTTGGAAGTTGTTCAGGAATTCCTATTAAGGGAAGGTATCGTTTTAAATGTAAAACATACTGAATCTTCAAGAATACAAATTTGCTATGTGTAAATTAATAGTTACTTACCAACATAGAGGTGACAAACCAGTTGAGGAAGATAATGCGCAAACAGCTGACCTGGCAATCTATCGACATATTCACATCACTGACACTTGGGAAGTTGTCCAAATTGTACATCACTATTTGTACATTCATCACGTCCCCGCCGAGTACTTTGAGAATCTGTGAAAAAAATGACCAAATCGATTGTTCTTTAATCTATACTAATATTATAAAGAGGAAAGATTTGTATTTTTGTATTTTTGTATTTTTGTATGTTTGTAATGAATAAACTCAAAAACTACTGGACCGATTGCAATAATTTTTTCACCATTAGAAAGCTGCATTATTCAGAAGTAACATAGGCTATATAATATCACGCTAGGTCCTATAGTTGTGGAGCAGTAACCAAAAATGTTTTAAAAACGGGGGAAAAGTATCGTTTCTGAGGCCTTCCGCGGCGTGCGCTGAGCATATAGTTAAAGTTATACAAAAATGCTCTATAGATGAATTGTTCATCTTAACATTATTTTTAAAAAAGTCCGCGAGAGCATATGTCTACCTTTTATAGTTTACCCATAAAAATCGTTTTAATGAATGGTTCAATCCTTATAAAAGTTTGCTCTAGATAACTTTTAGGTAGGTTCCTATTTAAGAAGAAAATAATTAATTAAATAAATGAAATAAGTAAATGAAGTCCGGAAACATATTTTCAAAAGGTAAATACTTCCTAAATAAAAAAAAAACTGAGAATAAATATAAATAAAACGTAAAACTACGTAAAAAATCTTAAGTCCCCCCGTGCGAAGCCGGGACGGGCCGCTAGTTCCATATAATATTAAATGTGACAATTTCGAAAAATGGCAAACCTTTGTGAATATATCGATTCTAAATCTATATGTATCATTTGTATTTTAGGACCATGTTAATTAATGGGGACGTTTTAAAATATATACAGGGTGTCCAAGAACCTGGCGTCCAACTGGATTCCCACGATGCCCCAAGTTCTAACAGTACTCAGAAAAATATTTTAAAAAATCCACCCCATGTACTTACAGAATTATACTGATTTCAAAAAAAAGGGGAAATGAGCACCCTGTGACATACTTTTGAATGCTGTGACTGCTAATGCTGATAATTTCGATATTTCTTGGAGGTTTTGTAATCTAGGGTATTGCTGTGTCTAAATAGAATGTAAAAATAAAGTACTTATTGTACCATTTTAAAATAAAATATTATTTTAACTAAAGGTGATATGGAAAACTATTGAATTTAGAGGTTAGATTCAATTCGTCGTAAATTTTTCTTTCTAAGAATTCTGTAAGACATCGTAAAAATTGGGTTGTTAAGTAAAAATATTATCAAATTTTTTTTTTTTCAAATGAATGTGTAAGTATTATACCTTTTTAAAAAGAGGAATAAACGCGTCAAAATTTGACGTCACTTGCCATACTATTTTGGTACATTTTTTTACACTACAGTCGGTCAAAGTTGCGAAATTCAATAGTTTTCCATATCACCTTTAGTTAAAATAATATTTTATTTTAAAATGGTACAATAAGTACTTTATTTTTACTTTCTATTTAGACACAGCAATACCCTAGATTACAAAACCTCCAAGAAATATCGAAATTATCAGCATTAGCAGTCACAGCATTCAAAAGTATGTCACAGGGTGCTCATTTCCCCTTTTTTTTGAAATCAGTATAATTCTGTAAGTACATGGGGTGGATTTTTTAAAATATTTTTCTGAGTACTGTTAGAACTTGGGGCATCGTGGGAATCCAGTTGGACGCCAGGTTCTTGGACACCCTGTATATATAACAAAGTAAGTAATAATAAGTCACGCATGCAAAAAAGTAGTATCAAGATTTATAATAACAATATTAAAGTTAAGATTTCAAGTAGTTTGTTACCTCTTTATGCACAGTCGCAGGATTGAGATCTTCTACTTTAATAGATGCAATGGTACAATCGACTTGTGTGTAAGACGCCTTCAGTACTAGGCCGGCCGCAGCACCTTGCAACTGTACCACGGATAAAGGACGCTTTTCCGTAGCGAAAACTATCTCTATTGCACCGATCTTACAGTTGACTTTCATTTGTATGCTCTCCACCTGCTTTTGACGTGATGGCTTTGTTACACTAGCTGTGAATAATAATAGTAACATTATACCCAAATGAATCTTTTGTTTTTGGTTTTAATTTATGAATGTGGTTATGATTACTTACCTTTAGACTTAGCCGTGACAAACTCTTCGTCCTCCATGATTGTTTCCAGTGGTCCAGCATTAGCTGTTCTATCAACTGTACTCTGAATAGCTTGCATTCGAGTCTGACAATAAGGTAACACAATATTAGACATATTATTTGAACGAAGAAAACTACTTGTGTGCAATATTAAATTCGTTGACACTTTTCTGTTGTTATTGAGTTGGTTAGCTTGGCAGCAACGTTAGCAACATTATGAGCTCCTGTTGTAATTTAAAATTATCGAGCACACACTTTTATTAATAACGCTTGTACTCCTATCAACAATGCACATACCTATTACCGAGTATTTATAATATGCTAATAGTTAGTTAGTATCGTATCTACATACCTGATATTCATTTACGATCACAAGGATCTCGCGCAAGCCTTCAAGATGTAGTAGAACTCTCAAATTAGTGAAATCCAACTCAATCATTTGTTCTACGGAACCATAAATGCCTCTAAAATCTGGACACTTTTTATCAACCTGAAAATATTTGATAAGTTTACTCATGTAAGACAATATTTGATGTATTTAACGTAACACTATTTTCCATGCCAAGGATAGCTACTTACATTTCTATATGTGACAGTGAAGAGGTATCGATTTTGATACTGTGTGTGTACTTTATCGATTGCAACATTTTCAATACACTGATCTTTTATCACGACTTCGGGTGTCTCAATGATATCTAAGACTGACAGTCCATACCCAACTCTATGATGCTGTAACTTTACAGATCCCAAACGGATTATGGTTTCTAGTGTAAATGTCTTCTGTACAGCAGTCATTTCTAACAGCGCTAGCGAAAAGACTAAGAATTTGTCGTAGCCAGTCGACGCATCTGTTTTCTTTCTGTTGATACTGAGAATTAATTCTGTTGAAGAACAAACATGATTTGATATAAACAAAAATAAGCCAAATGGTTTAACATGACATGACGTAGAGAGAAGAACAAGAAATTAAAACAGTTGTATTCCTCTCGTAAATACTCACCCACTATTTCTGTAAAATTGTATGACTAATTTTCGCTTAACATGTTTCATGGAACTTGTAGTTGTCTTACCTTTCATAATAAAGAAAGCTTCAACTTCAGTCATTTGCACAGTATGTTCATCTTTCTTCTTCTTCTCTTTAGCGCGAGCCGCCTCACGCTTCTGTTTCTCCATAGGATCCAAATATTTCAGTAGCGACAAACTTGACGCTTTCGATTCACTTTGCTACAATTAGTAAACATTAGTTAACAAAGTGAGCTCAAATGTTAGTTAGTTAGTTTAGAACTCATAATAACTAATTAAAATGAAGAATAGTACTACATTCATGGTGTGCTATATTAATTAATTATTATTTTACAGTCATTTAATTCTAAACTAAGTTTACAATACTTTAATGTTTATACTTTTTATAGTGATGTCTAAATAAGATAGTGAAGTGAAATTAATCACATCTACTGTCTGTTGGCAAAGGAAGTTACCACCAGCGCCTGGCTCGGGTGAGCACTTCTAACTGTATAAGCTGGCTCTATCACAGAACCAGTTATAGTGTACGCAAATTTGTAGCAAAATATCTTTAAATTAAAAGGAAAATATTAATAATTGAAATCAAATCATAATAAAGGAACGTATAGAAGTAATAATAATATTTTTTTACTAACCTTTAGTTGCGTAGCTTCATCTGATTTTGGTAGAGGCATGCTTACTAATATTTCGCATAATGCCAATAATCTGTAACGAAACGTATTTACAAATAAATCATAGTTCTCATATAGCAAAATTACATTTGATGATGGTTAATAATATCTACACATATTCTTCAGAATTAATACAAATATTGATAGGTCAATTCATGACGAGATTTTTATCATAGGAAACATATTAATATGAACTGAACGCGTAGATAGATAAACTTTATTGTACACTAAGTAAGTAAAATTTTACAATTTCACAGTTTATAAAGAATAAGAACGGTACAAAGAGGCGGCCTTATCGCTAAAAGCGATGTCTACCCGGCAACCTTTGTAAAGATATCAGATAAAATGTTAGAGAAGAATGTGTAAATGAATGTTCACATCCCTAATTTTTAGCCAAGATAGATTTCGGTTTCGATCAAGTTTTTGAACTCACCTATCTTCGGAAACACTGATGGCAATCTTCTGCAACTCTCCTATGACCCTGACCTTGGGCAAGCGGGGGTCGTCAGTGATCAGACACTTATGTATCTGTATAACTAAGTTGGTGGGTTGAAGTAAATGTAGGGGCGTGCCTTCATCGTTTGTGGATGATATCGCCGACTGCCAGTCCTCATCGGCATGTGCAATAACTATCTGTAGATAAAATAATGTTATTAAACAATTATGATATAAGCAAAGTGGAACTCACAACCTTGACCTGACTCACCCTGTTATAACACTCTTAACATTGAGTCATCGTGTCACATCTGTTTAAACTATAGTGATCGTGTATTGTTTGGTGTTTTTCACAAGTATGCCCCAGGAAAGTAGTGGGTAGGTACTTACTACAGGTAAATACTGATATTTACATAACTGTTGTTTATATCTCATTCAAAGCCCATACTCAAGATATGACACAAAAAATAACACTATAAAAATAAATAGGGTAGAATTCATACCTGCATTTTAGTAAGTTCAAGAGCCATTTTATCATAGCTGTGACGTGCTATCTCTCTTAGTATATCTTCATCGGCCAACCCCTCCTTGTACAATTTGTGGACGTCTAACGCCTGGGAACGAGGCTCAGACTTCACTTTTATGGCACCGAGTTTGACGACCACACAAGCTCCACCCCTGTAATTTTAATTGTTGGGGCAAATAAAATTCGGTCTTATTAACGATATAGTTTCTAAGTCGTATTAGGATTAATATGGAAGCACTTGCTTAAGCCTCAATACTGATCCTAATAACTTACTAATTAATGTCGTATTTAGGTAACAATCTATTTACTTAAATACTTACTCATTGTAGATACCAGTTTTGGGAACTATAATATATGAAGCGGCGATATCAATGTCAAGGTCTATAAATGTGTGGTGATGGACAGCATACTGCATACCCAATGCAGACTTCTCTTTGAGATCCGACAGTTTGTTTTCTGCAACAGCTTGTAACCTAAAATAGAAAAAAAAAATATTCCAAATATATTATAGAGTTTTAGTTATATTGCTTTAAATAATAATTAACACCAAAATTTAGACTTGCGTAAAAAAATTGCACCTATTGCGCAAGAAGTTACGTATATCTATGTATTGGTGCACTAAATATTTTCTTATAGATAAATATTGCCTTATAGATAATGTTAATTACAACAATATTGCATTTACTTACGTTGTCAACGCAGAAGATTCGGTTTCTGGTTTGAAAACATTCACAATTTCTATGACAGTTTGTGCATCGTATATTATTTGTAAAGGACGTGCGGAGACTTTCACTCTTTGGTTGCATAGACCGTCTAAAACGATAACAGTAAGTTAAAATCACATAATAGTCAAATTATATTCATTTGATAACACTCAAGTGATGCCCGAAGGTCAAAAATAAAAAAAAATATCTTACCTAGAGGATTGGTTTCGAAAACAACATTCAACAAATTGACATTGTTTGTGACTTCCTTGGAGGTGACAAGTTGTGGTTCAAACGAGCCTTGCTGCACCCCAGTTACACTGAAAGATTTCATCTGGACATCCACTCTGAAAGCCAGAAGACAAAGAAATTAAAATAGGTTGTTACTTGTCTTAAGGCCAACCCAGCATAGATTAATGGCGTGACACGTCCCTAAAATATGGCAACAGAAACGAACATAAAGTACTTGAGACATAAAAACTTATGTCACTTACCTCAACGCATTAGCACTAGGTCGCTGCTTCATATCAACCTCAACGTGATCGACACAAGCCTTCAACACTTCGACCTCATCAGTGACTCTAAGCTGCAACCGATCCAATTGGAAATAGCTCTCTACAGCTACGTACTCGATCGGCAAGTGTAAAGGTGCCGAGTTCTCTTGGTAGTCTATTGCACGGAACAACTTCTCTTTCTCTTCGGGCGTCATTGCCTTTTCGAATTGTTTCACTAAAATAAATATTTTTTTCGATATTAGAGGGAGATATTTGCTGCGGAAAATAGTCTATTCTATATCTTTGTGATGTCATAAGATGTTTTATTAAAGTTTTCCTTTGAAAAGTCCTGTGTAAGGTTAATGAAACACTTTAATACTTACTGATAGCTGTTCCTTCAGCCAAATCGTCTTCTTTAGAGCCACTGCCATACCACCAACCACTGAACCAACCTTTGTTTTTCTTAGCTTCCTCTTCGAGCTTACCCAGTCGTTCAACCTGAAAATATAGGTTCAAAAAGTCTTATACTGTACTATAAAGCTGAAGATATTGTTTGTTTGAACGTGCTAATCTCAGTAACTACTGATCCGATTTGAAAAAATCGTGTTGTTTTGTGTTGGATAGTCCATTCATTTATGGAGGAAGGCTATAGGCTATAAAACATCACGCTACTATCAATAGGAGCCGAGGAGAGCGGGTGAAACCGCAGCTAGTGTAAAATAAATAACCAATACAATATTTGTCTATTATACTTATTTATATGGATTTTAGAGAGCTGCAAGAAGAGAAGAAATCTAGCATACCTAGCCTAGAGGTATCATAGAAACTCTTTTAATTGTTCTCAATGAATTATATCAAATAATTCTAGTTGGAGTACCAAAGATTTATTCACATACCTCCATTTCAATCTTCTGTCTGATCACCACGAGGTTAAGGAGGTCGAGTTGCTTCTCAGCCTTGTCTAATACACATAGCTGTTCCGAGGAGACTTTGCCCTTATTACTCAGTTTACACTGGTAGACCGTCGCATAGTCCTTGCAAAGCTGTCTGTGTTCCAACATATGCGTCCAATCCCAGTTCCTGCGTCGTCTACGTACCTCTTCTTCGAGTATACACGTGTACGCAAACTTCCACCATGCTTTGTAGTGGCGTTTATATGTATTTAGATCTGGACGGTATTTTCTGTGATCAAAATATTTTACATTTCATTTATTAGAAAAAAAAAATTACTTATATCATGAATGTAATGAACAATATCTGTATTTTTTGCTAGTCAAAAAGTCTGTAAGAAAGTTAAGTAATGCCCGAAAGCGTAAGCAAGACGTGTAAATATTATACACTTTTCACCATTTATTGTATAAGTCCCATGTAATAGGATAGTGAGCCAATTATTATCCATACGCCGGAAACAATAAATGCGGAAAAGACTAGTTAATTTCAATGTCATAGATATATCCTAGGAATCGAACCAATGATATTCAAGCATTTACATTTAAGACCAAAAACCTAGCGAATAGGATAGATGCCTATTTATTATTTAATGTCCGTCTGGTAGATTATTTTAAATCATTAGACACGTATTTTTTATTTTCTTACAGAAACGAATACTTTCGACGATACCTATATTGATTTGAAATGTCGCGTGACGTCACATCTACGTATATATTTTACGTAGAAATGACGTTTTAACCCCCACTCCTAAACTTTGATTCGTTTTATCTAAGTATTGTTTTATTATACGACATAATAAAAAAATACGTGTCCAATATATTTTAATTACCTAACTAAAGGATAATTTAGTTTTTAATTTTCATACCCCGTCATCATCCCAATTCTGTCCAATATCAGTCATTTCAATATTTTTATGAGTCGTAAAAATTTCAGTCGCAGTAATAAAAATTATCCGTTCTAGTTTGCCTGACCTACTAAGAGGCGAGCCAAAAGAGTAATCACGGGTCATGTAGTGCAGTAATACAATTAACATCAATCAAGATACCTGTATGGGGCTTGTTTGTTCATTCTGTCCATAGAATCTGCCAGTAACATCATATCTTGGTACTGGGCTTTAGTTAGGCTGACTGACAGTTGCTCCATGTGTAGACTTAGGATCACTTTCGGCGAACTAAATTTAGGCGTGTCGCCTTCCGGCTTCGGGTTCAGTTTTAGTTTTGCTGTTGCATTTATTGGGCCCAGAGCTAAAATACACATAGTTTATTATAGTATCTTTCAATGAAATATCGGAAAATACAACTTGTATTTGTTATACTTGTAATACAAGTTCATATTCTTGTACATAAGGCTAAAACACTTACCATAGTGGTAAAATTCTGGCTTAGACGACTTTGTCGCAATCTCATTTAATAGTCTATCCTTTATCTGCAAAGGTTCCGAGCGGGAATACACTTCTGTGGCAGGGTTCCAATAAATTGCTAGACCTTCCAAGTCTAGAATCTGTTGGGGTAAGGAAATATTTAATTCAAATATAAGGGTATCTTGTTTGTTCCTCTTGAAAATAAACTTGATAGAATTATTTTCGGTTAAAATAACACACAAAAACCGACCTACTTTCCTAAAACTATATTCATCATCACCATCGTCATCAGCCTGTAAGCGGCCACTGTTGACCAAAGCCTCTTCTCACACGGAGAAGGTTTGAACATTAATCACCACGCTTGCTCAATGCGGGTTGGCGATTTCAAACTTATAATTAGGAATTATAAGGTTTCCTCACGATGTTTTCCTTCACCGTTTACAACTATATTTAATAACGACATATGGTATGTATAGAACTTCCAACCAACGAAAGTCATTATTATTACTTGAAATAAGGCTAATTACGTAATTTTAAGTAGTACCTACGGTGAATTTTTTTGTTTATAAATACCAAACATAATCGTCGTGACCTTAAATAATACGAGCAACCTTCAACTTTATCTTTTAAAGTTCCATAGAATATAAATTACTTTATAACAAAGGCAATACCTTGAAAATTTTGGTAACGGCATCAGTAATGAGCGCTTTCTGCCAGTTTTCGTCTGTGGTTTGGACGGACAAGTTGTGCAGGGTGATACCAAAGGAGAAAGGCGCTTTAGGATTCGTAATGCCATCCTCGTATCGTATGTGTATGTCTTTGATTTTCAGCTGCACGTTCTTTATTATTTGGGTAGCCAATTTCTCGACAAACGTCTCATCGAGTTTAATTTGATCTAAAAATAAAAAAAAGATAGATATTTGACATTGCATAGAAGAAAATATATTGTGTTTTGTGATATATTTACAAGATTCGGTCCGCACTTAACCTTGGGATTTAAGCCGAGATCAAATCGTTCGAAGAACTCATGACCGTGCATTAAGATATGGCATAAATTGATTAGTTTACTCGATATAATTCTTTAAATCATAATATTATCTTAATATGCTAAGGTGTAATAAGGTAAATAAGTTAGTTACTTAATAATGGGAGTAAAGGAGTAGGCGGTCCTATTTCCTTCATAAATATTATAAAATATCTAGTTTCGAACACGAGTAAAATTTATAGAAAGGTCTACTTCATAGCGCAAACATTAATTTTACTAAATGGGTAAATACTTTTCATAGATTATGCTATGCTAAACAAGCAACGTCTTTCGTTTATACTGTTTTACAAGCTATCCTTCACCTTAATTAATGTTTGACCAATGTTAATATACCTTAGAAAAACAATATTACGTAGATGCTATTAACTCTTTAAACAGTAATATTTTACAGTTAAACGATAACATTAGCAATGAGTTAGTTAATCCTGTATTCAGGTCGCCAATATACAACCTAGAAACACATATGTATTTTTATTCGGTTTTGCAAACTGTAAATGAATAAATCATAAGTGAACAAAAGAGCCTATAAACCGACCTATAAAGTTACGTATGAAACTGTGACAATAATATATCGGTTTACTTTTATTCTGCTATAATTTATTCCATTAGCACACGCGATAGCGAAAGGTATTACAGCAGAACTGCAGACTGATAATAAAATTGTACAAATAACTATCAGTACCTTTTTGCGCCTCTCTCTTCTTGGCTTCTTCGACCCTCGCCAGTTCAGCCTGCTTGGCAGCCAGCTCGATCTTCTCTTCCTTCTCACGGTCATACTTAACTTCAGCAGTAGGGTTAACAATCAAAAACAGACGTTCAACTGTTGCTTCCACTGATGCGCCATACAGATTCTTCCAGGGAATTTTAAGCACCAGCTTTCCTGTGGAAAGATATTAACGTAAACAACAAATGATTCATCAACACATTTAGTACTGTTCTCGAGCTAGCCGCTAAGCACCACTTATCTAATAATAATATTTTGAATGTCAAGCACCTTGCTGCAGGAAATATTTACTTTGTTATAAATTATAATTACGTCATATATTTAAACTGGCCTGATGACGGCATTGAGATAGAAATATACATTTTTTGATAACCGCTTTTGATAGAGTACCTAACATTTATGAATTAATTACAATACATTGTAATTTGCTATATTTACGATGAAAAGCTCGTTATCTTGCGCGTCAAAACAATTGATCGTAATGCTATCAATTAATGTATACAAATATTGCTTATAGCTTATTTTGATAAGTAAGTACATAAGCGAGTTTAAATTACAGAAAACCTAGTGATTTGAAAGCAAAAAATCTGGCGTATAATTTTCTGTATTTGACAATTTGTTGATCGATCTTTTAGTTATTCTATTCTGTGCCCCTGTAGCGTAACCTAGCCTATGACTGATGACAGACTGTATAGTATCGTAATAGTGCCTAACGCTTCGGTAAAGGTACCGATTATGTTATGCATAAATAGACACTATTTTCATTTTTGGTCCACTAAGTTCAAATAAGTAAGTAGATTGCTTAGGTTAGTACCTAAATAAATTACAATTAAACAAAAACATGAAAAACGTTTGTAAGGTCTAACTTCTGACATAAACCTCTAACCTTGTGACCTGCTTTTGTTTCAGTCAGATACCTACTAAGGAGTGCCCTGTTACAGGCTTATTTACAGCACATTGCCCAACATTTTTAGTCTTTAGGTCATGCATGAAGCATGATACAAATATAATTAGTCATATTGTGTGTATCAAAAATCCAAATAAGTTTTATCACATTATTGTGTCGACTAATGGCTAAATGCATGTTTTAAAGACTTAATCGTCAACTGGCGAGCGCGAATCTCGCGAGCGCGCGCGAGTTGGCACTTTTCGATTTTGCCTACTTTTTTTGTCGTCAACTCGCGCGTCTATATAATTTGATGTTTTAATGTATAGTCAGCTACAAAAACGTTATAACAAATTTAATTTAGTTAGGTACTTACCTACTATAAATGTATAAGAAACTTTATGAAATTTGATTTTTAAAATAAAACAAAATATACATCGTTTTGAAATCAGTTTATTATAAATCAACAGGACAAAATATAAATTATTAGTAGTATTTCCCTTACTAATTATCAACAATATCACATTGATTTGAGAATTTGGCTTATTATCTTATTATCTAGTATGTAAATTGTAAAAAACTAAGTAAATAAAATAGAAACAACGAAAACACTCCCCTCACATACTCGTATACAAAATTATATGTGAGGAGATTTTCGATAAATCTCATAATATAAATAATTTAAACCGTACTGAAAATTGGTAAGTATAAAATAGTAAAGCTAAACATAGTAATTGACAACAAACTGACTTATTATTGCTCACTAATAAAATCAATCTTAGGAACCATAGAAAGAGTCTTAGAAACTATAAAATCACAGATCTATAT